ACCTTATTTCCACGATATTTTTAGAAAAATAATATCCAAGTAATTTTCGCAGGCAAAATATTCAAAAAACAATAAACGCATTAATGCAAAAATCAGTTTTACTTCCTTTTTCGATTCCGCGATTGTAATAAAATCGTAAACGAGAAAAAATGTTAAAATTGTTTTATTATTAATTAATAATATTTCTTATTGTACTTAAGAAAATATTAAATATTAAAAAATACAGTATTTTTAAAGTTAAAATAAGATTAAACTAACGAAAACCAAAACCAAAATGATGAAGAGATACGACGCGCTTGTATATCGATGACGTACCAAGTCGAATTAAGTCGGAAAAAAAGAAAGTGTGCATTATAATCGAGAAAATACGACTATTGTATTAATCTTTAAAATATTGGTATTAAATCTGTCTTATAATATCATGACGACTTCTGTAAATCGGGTTATCCGATAAGAATAAAATACAATACCAATATAGCTCTATCGTTGAAAAAATTCGCTTATTTTTGCTTACCTCGAGTTTTGCTTTTCAGTAGAAATGGTTAAAAAGTGCACAAAATACGTACGGAAATACTTTATTACAGGTCCACTTGTATTGGACGACCACCTGTCTAAAAGACCATTTTTTGAAGGAACCGCAGATGGTCGCCATAGACAGGTTTTACTGTATGTGTATATATATATATATATATACAGTAAAACCTGTCTATGGCGACCTACCACAGTTCCTTCAAAAAGTGGTCTTTTAGACAGGTGGTCGTCCAANGGATAATCGATACTGTACTGTATATATATATATATATATACACAAAACAAACAACCACTCATAATTAAAAAATTAAGTCTCGTTTAAATACCATGTGATGATACTAATAATTTTGTAATTTCGATCTTCTATAAAATTCGAATATTAATGACATCAAAGTTAATTTTATTCTATTCTATTCGTTGCCTGGATTAATATGGAGGCTTTTAGCTAAAAGCCTCCATATTAATCCAGTTTGTTCTCTCCGATGCTGCGATCGTACGATCCGTTTTTTCCGGCCGAAGCTTACTGCTTGGACATACGCTAGGAGCGGGGAATAAAAGAGGAATAAATGCATACATGCGGAGCGGCATGGAAAAGCGGTGTCGAAAACGCATCTTCGCCACGCGGCAATCCGCTTTACATTTTGGCGCATGCGTTCAGTATTCAAGATGGCGAACGAAATCGACAGTGCCGCTACAGTGGCTAAAATATATTCTAGCCACTGTAGTACCGCTATCCACGTGTCTACAAATTTTGTTTTGTGCGGCTTGCTTTATTTAGCTAGAAGATTTTGTCGAAGATTCGAACGCAGATTTTGGATTAGAGATATTTTCTTGATCGAGAAAGAACTTGTATACAAAATACGCTTATTCCTCAATTAATTAAGATCCCTCGATAAAGAATACTATTTCGAGTAAGATTCGGTTGTTTTGTTGTTTAAATTTAATTATATATGATTTGTTTTGTTCTTTGAATTTAATTATATATGATTATTTGTGTAGAATTTGTGTTAAATTTATTATCCTTTCCTCTTTATTCTGATGTTAGTTATTGATATCTCGATTAACCACTAGCGTAGCGAGGGGGTAGCAAGGGGTCTATCCTTCCTGGGCGCCACTCGCGGAGGGGCGCCAAATGGTCTCCAAGACAAACAAGATTTGTTTCTGGAGGTGGGCGTCGATAAAGTGTCGTGCCCCGGGCGCCAGTTATGTTCACTACGTCACTGCGGTTAACGGCATCGAACTTTCCACCATTAAAACACCACGTGATTGTATTTTCTCGTGTGACTACCAGACGAACTGTTATTGTCTGATAGTAATGCGTTTTAACGGCGGTCGCCGCAAAAGATAGAATTCAACCAACTTTTGCGGCACGAGAAAAGCGGCACAAAATCGAGTTCTGCGACGAGAAAAAGTGACTTTATTCTGCCGCTTTTCCTTGCCGCGCCGGTTGTGTGCATCCTCCTTAATGCCTTCCGGGAGGTCTTTTAAGCGTAACTGGCCCTATTTAGACGTTAAAGACGTGAAGAAAAGCCGGAAAACTCCGCGTGGCCAGTCTGTCCTGACGAGGCGTGTATCCACGATTGAACTGTCAGTGTTCAGGGGAAATGAAGTCTAACCAGTAAATCAAAGAAATCATTTCCTGCGGTGAGTTTATTTTATTTATTGTCCCAATCAGAACATTAGCATCTAGTAGATTTTCAGTAGGAATTATTTTTGACTATCAAATTAATATTAATATCCTTTACTCAGAAAAGAAAGAAGCTGTGCAGAAATAATAATGGATTTCAATCCATACATTTGAGATGGTGCACACATAAGCACTTGAGACAGTGGGCACATTTTATAAATGTATTTTAATCACAATCTGTAGCATCACATACAGTCGACCCCCCTATAAGATAATTGATTTTTCCGTTTTATCTGAATTACATGTTGTACGAGTCACTTAGATTTTACAAATATGTGAGCCATTCACAGTCCGGCACACGTATTTGTAAAATCTAAGTGACTCGTACAACATGTAATTCAGATAAAACGGAAAAATCAATGATCTTATAGGGGGGTCGACTGTACTAGATTGTAGTTCTTTGTAAATTTGAAGCACGCTTGAACGCTGAAGAATTTTTCTCTACCAGTCAGTAGCCCAGACGAACACTACGAGTAACGAATCATGTTTGAAAATGTCAGCAGATAAATGAAAGTTAAGAAGATTGCAAATTTTCTTTTTTTGATAACACCTTTGCGTGTGTTCCAATTATCATTGTTGTGTACCCCTTTGGCGTTGAAGAATACCTCTAGTCCTGTAATAATTTCTCTGGGGAAGTATTTTAACTGCCGATGAAAGATGTGTCAAGAGACTGCACCAGAGAAGTACAGTTTTTTGGTACGATTTTTAAAGTAATTTCTGGTGTATTGGCATGCTTGACCGAATAATTTTGTATATGAATTCATATTTGTGTCCGCTCCATGAATCTATCACAAGAAGGGAACTTTTCTTTACGTCTGGGACTATTTGTATTTCCAAAATGAATTCACTTTGTCTGATATGCTACAAGTGACAGTGACATTAGAAGGCGTGAAACTATTAATCTCCACTTGCATTTTTAATTCTATTTATTTATTTCATCTACATTAGGAAATGTCGCTGGACAGCAGATCTCTTTCTCTGATAAATAACAAGACCCATAACAAAAAAAATAAGATACATAAAAATAAAATAAACCGACATAATAAAACATAAATGAAAACCGCAAATATATATATATATATATATTTGTGTATTCTGACTTATTTATATATATGAATAAGTCAGAATACACAAAAATGTTTAAAATATTAAATACGTATAATGCTAAAACATAAAAATTTAAAAACAATATAGGCCTAATAATAACCGAGCCGGAATATAGAATATTGCCATAAAATTATTTTGCGAAAAGTGCGAAAGAATTGAAATGCAATAGAATATGTAAAGTCGAGTTTACAAACTAATAAGAATTATATAATATCGTCGACAAGATGTTTTATGACTTGTAAAAAATGGACTTGAAGCATGTCTTCTACATTGTTCATGTTTCTGGCTATGCTAGGGTTGTCCAACCTTTTTACTTTATGGGCCAAATTAGAAATTTACTTATTTTCAACGAGCCACAAAGGTACTTTATATAAAATATATGCTTTCAAAAAGTTCAAAATATGAATATCAAATTTTAATAACAAATATATATAATTACAAAAGATACTGTATTATTGACAGTAATAAAATTATATTTACACAAGATAAAAATAAATTCAATGCAATTTTTGACATTGCTTTCCTTTTGTCAATATCTTCCTTTATGGTACTGGTCTTAATTCTAAGAATGTTAGTTAAATGGGAATCACTCAATCTATTTCTTTTAGCAGTTCTGATGTTTTTCATGCACGAAAAGAATTGTTCCCAACAATATGTACAGTACATGCATAACATATTCATAATGCATAATGCCACATGCATAACAGTTTTCTAGATAAAACAATTTTTCTAGCACTAATTATGTCATTACGACTTAAAAGTGTATCCAGTGAAACGAAAATAATTTTTATGACATACTTTACCAAAATAAATGAAAATGTACCTAAAAAGTCTAGGGTGCAGTGGGCAGCGGGTTGGACATCCCTGGGCTATGCGGTAGAAAAAGGATCTATGTGAAATAGATAAGCGGTAAAAAGGAGTAAAAACACAAGTGGTGTCGCGTGTATTCTTTACGGGAATTCTAAGACGAAGCCAGAATAAAACTATTAAAATATTTATAATAGAGTATGCGATCATAGTATTTGATCTTTCATGTATGTTGGGAAAAGGTAGCCTGAACCTTGCAACGTTGGATTGTTAGTAAACGATAGATTACTTTGTTTATTTAACAATAAATATATCTTATCAATTGAAAAAGATGATTCACTAAACTTGTATTGAAGTTGTCTACTAAAAACGTATTAACCTTGTACAAAACATAAACAACCATACAAGAGCTTGTGGGATTGTTTACATATCTTTGCATATATTGCAATCTTTGCTCTTCCAGACTTGGTATTTCCAGTTGTCATCTAACGTGATGAGCACCACATGTTTCGAAGTATGGATCGCGATTGGAAAAAATGTTAAGATACAAGGTGTGACAATTTAATTCCAGGACTGGTCGTGTATCATTGCAGTGTCAGCGTGCAGAAACTTGTCATAATAGTTCAACCATCTGGCTACTTGTTTGCATAAATTTGTTCATGTCTCGTAACTCGTTCTTTTTCTGTACTTCATTCACATATTGCTGTGAGAAAGTGCTGTCACGTTTTTGTCATGGAACAAAACGCGAACATTAAGTTTTGTTACAAGTTGAGTAAAAGTGCAACAGAGACGTAGCCCTCATCAAGCAAGTTTATGGGAATGATACCCTGTTCCGCTCTCGTGTTTTTGAGTTATTTGCGCGTTTCAGGGATGGTCGGGAAGATCTTGAGGACGATGCTTGCTCTGAACGACCTCAATCAGTTCAAACACCAGAAAATATCGAAAACATCGGAGACTTGCTGCGATATGACCGTCGAATGTCTATTCGGATGATAGCAGAGACAACTGGTATCAATCTGGAGACAGCTCGTCAGGTTAGGCCTCAGTTTGCAGCAAAAGGAAGCTGGGTACTGCTGTCCGACAATGTCCGCCCGCACACTGCGACTGTTGTCAAAGAGTTTTTGGCCAAACGTGGCATTGTTGAGTTGAACCACCCGCCATACTCACCAGATTTATCGCCTTGCGACTATTTTTTGTTTCCGAAAATAAAAATCACATTGAAGAGACGAAGATTCGACGATCTGGAGGACATACAGCGCAATGTGACCAAGGAATTCAGAGCTGTCAACGGAAGTGACTTTGCCGAGTGTTTCAAGAACTTGTACAAGCGTTGCGAGAAGTGTATTGCCCTCCATGGGGATTACTTTGAAACATTTTAAAAGGGTTTTTCATTATATGTTCTTTGTGTCCTTTTATTACTCCAGTCCTGGAATTTAATTGTCACACCTTGTATTTCAACTGTTTTGACCATTGATGTCTAAAATACGGCCTCCGGATCCAATTCAGTTCTCAACACATGTTAAATATTTGACACATCACACATAAATGATATAAATAGTCTTCTTTTTAGAATATGTATATGTAATATATAAAATATTTGTTGGCTTGCCTATTTACGACTTAATAATTTAGCCTGTCAATTGGAAAGTTTAGGCACATATCTACCACACATGCAGATTCAGGATGAATTTAAGTTGCGGGAGAATTGAGTGGCCTGATCGGTTGGATAAAGACATGCACTCTTTTAACTACAGACACAACAAAATGGTCAGAAATAATGCTCCCGGATCTGAATGATTACTTTGTAGACAAGACGTGCGATTACGCCAAGGAAGCATTTCAAAATTACAAATACAGTGGATGATCGGTTAACGAACATAATCCGTTCCAAGACTTTGTTCGTTAACCGATTATCGATTCACCATAGGTTTTTATGGGAATTTGATTAATTCGTTCCGAAGACTTCAAAAAATAAAAAATAAATACAGGTAACCCCCGTATAACACGGGAGTTACGTTCCAAAAAATTGCCGTGCTATGCGAATCCGTGTTATACGGAACAAAGAACTAGTGCGAAAAGGGAGGTTAGGTTCCACAAATTAAAAAACATGTTGTTAAATCCTTATTTAAATCGGATTTATTATTCATTTTTTTCATAGGTAATAATATACTTACTTATTATTTAAGTAAATATTTTACCAGAGGATTATTCATTTTATATGATCTCAGCATGAGCATCATCAACTGGTAACAGTCTTTGGGTGCGTTCGTTAATAGCGGTCACTCTGCAACGGGAGTGCGCTGCGGTTTGTAGGCATTTAGGAGCGACGGTGAAAGAAAGATGGTGGCGCCCGCGCTATCGATAGTATCGTGTGGAGGAATCTATAATTCTAAAATGAGCTTTTAGAGGCAAAAGAAGGGTGCCAATTGTATAATTTAACCATTAAATGGATTATTTGTTGAAAGAGCATTCAAAGTAGCCATGAAAACAGTTAGAATGCTCGCGCGGAGGTATAAAAGAACGCACCCTTCATTACATTTTATGTTGTATGAGGGTTTTACCCAATTTCCGAACCGTGTTAGAGTGAACCCGTGCTATAAAAGCACCGTGCTATACGTGGGATGCTCCCAATTCTCGAACCGTGTTAGAGTGAATCCGTGCTATAGAAATGTTGTGTTATACGGGGGTTACATGTACTTTTTTATTACGTTTATTTATATGTAATAGTAAAAATACATATATATGCAGTCTTGCATTTTTATTAGTCATGTTTTTTCCGTTTGTGGGGGTTAAAGAATCTGTTTAAAGTCGATTGCTTTTCTTTTTTCTTCAGGATTTTTTGGAAGTAATTAATAGTATTGTAATTGTAGAGATCCTCAACCCCATTAACCTTATTCTGGTTTGGATGCCACTTGGATGATCTGACATCCTCCCACTTCTTCAAAAGATCTATAGTAGCAGATGTCCACATTGGTCCTCTTTCGTCTTCCTCTTTTTCAAAAGAAAATACAACTCGCTGAGTTTCTTGGTATTCTTCATTTGAGAGTTCTTGGAGTTCTTCTGTGGTCAGATCAGTTTCAGATTCCATTATGAGCTCTAAAATGCTCTTTATTTCTTTCATAGCTAAGATTGTGCCTACTGTAGACCTGTTCAAGCCATACTGTCTAGCAACATCAGACATCTTGTGCCCATTCTCTACCTTGGATATTATCTCTTTTGTTTCTACGGTGAGCACAGTTCTTGACATTCCTCTTTTTAGGCTCTATAATATTATCAGTTTCTTTTTTTAAATAAAAAGTTCAGAAAAGCTCTTACAAAAATTTAGAAAAGAGAAATCAACTAGCCCACAAAAAATTATTTAAATGCAAGGCCCGGATGAAATTCGAAATTTGGTACTAAAACGTTAACGAATATCTGATTGGACAGTTAAACTTTCACCTTTCTTAAATAAACCCCGACGCAAAACTTAACAAGTGCCCGTCCGACAGTCTCGCGAAGACTATAAAAAATTATTTGTCAGAAAGGTAAACAAAAAGCTGGAATTACAAAGGATAGTTTCAAAATTAGGAGGAATATCCTATCCGATCGGTATCGGGTTGAATGTCGATGTTGACGTCTCCAGCGTTCCGAAAGGTTTCGAATTGTTACATGAAGACAAGCGAAAATCAATCGGTATTCGTTATTTTCCGTCGCTTCTTTTTATGTTTGTTCAGTAAAGTGTTCGTTAGCAAAACATGCGTTCGTTGTCCGATCATAAAAATCTTTCGTGAAAGTGTTCGTTATCCGAACTGTTCATTAACCGATCACCCACTGTATTTGGATAGTTGCAATCGTCTCGTCAGTGGGAAAATATACGAAGTGTGGTGTTACACCGTAAAGAATGATGGCTGTTTGATTAATGCTAAAGTTCGTTCAGGGAAAAATTTGAAGTGATATCACATTCCTTAGGCTTTAATTAAACCCAACAAGATGATTGTAACAGCTCATTGCACATGCATGGTCAGGCAAGTTACAATGAACTTTAATTAGGCTAAATTGTTGTTCTTTCATTGTTCCAGTATTCACAATTCATGCTGAGTGCCGAGGTGCGTCTTTCAGGATTCCATGCATTTTTATTTTGCACATTTTATTTGTTCCGCTACTCGTAATGAATCCCGCTGCTACGCAGCATTTATATGAAGACATGCGGAAAACATGTTTTAATTTTTTTACTGTGACAATATTTAAGTTTATCTTTGCAGCATAGAGTCAATAACTGAACTTAGATCACAGGTAAATTAATATCTTAATTAATTTTTATGACAATACAATCATAAAAATTTAAATATATTTTAGTATTATATTTAATGTAATCAACAATTAAGAATGCTGCTAAATTTGTCAAATAAGTAATTACGAAAAATTTCTTTCATATATTTTATGTGTACTTCTGAATTTTCAGTGCCTTATCAGGTTACTGCTCGAAAGATTTTCTTTATTTTTTAAATTATTGAAATTTGCATAGATTTTATGGAATGTACGCAAGCCTAAACATTGAGTGCTTGAAAGCAAATAATCAAATCCTCAACTGATAGTTTGTACAGTGTATTTTATTGATACTATGAATCGGATTCCTGTTTAATCTAGTTCAAAATCTATAACAAACACATCTTCCACAAAAAACACAAACACAAACACATATTAATAAAATATGCTTTCTTAATAAAACAGGATGTTTGAAAACTGATTTCACAAATTTCTGACGACTTTATACAAAATTTTATTAAAATACCTTTTTAGCAAACATAATGACTGAAAACTTGATATGACTTTTAATAGTTTTCTTGTGCAAAGTGTCATCTTGCTCCTGCGAGAAAAGCGACACAACTCAAAACTTCAATTATGTATGTGATGTATATGTTTTGTAAGAAATGTTGTAAACAAAAAATTGCAAATGTAGTTGAAAACTAGTGCTTCATTTGTAATTTGTTTCCTGCTTGAAAAATCTACACTATTCAATGAATTACGATTGCTGCCGCTCTTTATACAATTACATAATAACATGGATAGTAAGCTGTAGCACTCATGAAAATATTCACAGGAAAAAGACATTGTGTAGTGTCTGGAAAACTCAAGGAATTCCAAACTTTAAAAAATCTAGCCATCATGGTACGTGAATCACGTGTATGTTGTACAAGTGATTCACATACCATGGTGGCTACATTTTAAAAGTTTGTTAAATGTATTTGTTTAACGGAAGAAGGTTCGAATATGACTTTCGATACAAAAAGGTTTCTTGATGCTGTGTATTATAAAAATTATTCCTTTTTATATAATATTCTTTTACTATAATTTTAATTTTTCTTATAAGAAAATGCTTTTTATCTCACGTTTTGTTTTATTTATAAACATTTCGGCGAAAGAGAAATTATGTAAATAGAAAAAAACACAAACACATCTTCCATGTTCTCCATCTTGTATGCGTCAAGGAGCAGTCCACAAATGATATCACGTATTTTGGGGGAGGGGATATTTCAAAATGTGACGAGAGGAAGGGAAATGATCCTTGTAACGTAAGGGTTCATATTTAATATTAATCAGTATCACACATGCTTTTTAACACAATACATCACATTTGAAACATTAAAAATTTAGTTTTTGTATTTAGATTTATATAAGAACACTAGAAAATCAAAACGTAAATGAATATTATTCAGTTAGGCCAGTACAAAGTTTCTTATTTTTTAGAGTCGTATTGAAGGATCAGGTTTACAGTCTCAAACCACAAACAATTCCTGAATTAAAACAAGTAATTGCAGAGAAATTTTTAATTATAATGGAAATGTGTCAAAAAGTTTGTAGACGTGTTGCTAGTAGGATTCAGCATTGTATTGAATATGAAGGGGTACCTTTTGAGCATGTCCATTAATATTAAATCATTGTATTCTTGTTGTTGTATTTTTTGTTCTTGTATTCATGTAATTTTTGTTCAATAAAATTTAAAATTTTTTTAAATTTCAAAAGGGCGTTACTTATGCCCTACTCTTTTTACTACATTATTTAGGCCTATACATTTATTTATTACAACAATGAAAAACTCTTATAATGAATTTAAAAAGGTTTTATTTTGATATGTAAACTTATTGTTCTTTGGACTTTTTCGAAAATAATTTATTCAATAATCTTCAAAAATGTTTGCGTCACACTCGCGACACACCTGCTGAAAATCACTGGTCTAGACGCTTGTGATCCTATCAATAATCTTGTCTTTGGAGTATATCCATTTTACCTCGTTTTTTAACAACTAAGTTGTAATAAAGCAAAGAAATGATGAATATTTATGTATATATGTCACCACACTAATAATGCAAACGCTTTGTCGGAGAGGCTTTGACATAAT